TGGTTGGTCTCACGTCACAGTCTGACTCAGGAGAAACTACACTGATTCTCCATATAGGTGGCTTAAAAGCAGACTCTTTGTCAATATATGGGATCCTAGAAAGATTCCATATGGCTGAGGTAACATGCCATGAGTACATTCCCCTACGACCAACCACTATCCCTGATCCTTAAGAAAGGCATGCAGCAAAATGGTATCACTTCCTAGGTAAGTACTAGAAAAAGGGAGCTATTTTGGGGTGCCATGTGGGTTTTCTTGCTTTTTTTTTTTCCTGAAAGTGGGAAAAAACTTCAGGAACACAGACAAACCAGAAAACCCAGGTCCTGGTAGCACACTTGATATAATCACATCCCACCTCACTGTGCAGATCTCTGGAGACAAACTGCACCCAAGAGTACACATACTCCTTTTGGGGTGGACTGTGGGGTAGGCTTCTGCTTCTTGCAAAAGTATATACCGGCATGCAGCTTCCAACCTGTTTTGCCCTTTAAGAAGCCCTAAAGTTATGGCTCCAAGTGAATTCAATTAAGAAAAAGAAACGTGAATACCACCGTTCTTGTTTTCAAAGCTTATGTGCACTTATACTCTGTCCACCAAGAGCTCCTGACAGCAGAAAGCTCTATCACTGAAAAGCTGTCACATGAGATGCCTGCCTGATGCGTGGGTGCCAGAACTGAACAGAGTTGGCTCCCATTCAACAAGCAAGATTTTGAAATAAACAGCTATGGGATTTCTTTTTTTTTTTTTTTTTTTTTAACTAAGCACACACAAACCTGTCTTCAGCTGCTAACCTATATATATTAGTCATTCTTCCTTTCAAATAACGTCATGTTCAAAACCCCAGTGACTGCAGAATATTTACTTGAGGCTGCTACTGCTGGTTTCTCTAGAGCTGTTTATTTTTCCATGCATGAGCTCATTACATCATTCTGTGGTTTTCTTAAAGCTTGTCAGGGTGAGCTGGATACAGGTTGGAATCTCTTGCTAACTAAAACCAAATCACTAAGTAGCGCAAATTGATTTGGAGATAACCCAACTCTGGAAATGAGGAACCACCATGGATTCCTCACAGTGGAGATGGGGTACTTCCAAAGAGGCAGCCATTAGATTTATTTTCTTGGAAATGGGATAGGTTTTCAAGTGTTTCCCTAGATTAAGAACCGTAAAAGAATAATCATTTGGACTGCTCCAGGGTGGAATAGGTTAGGGGGAGGAGGTAGGAAAGTAGGAGGCTGAAACAGTAAAAGTAGAATGAAAAGACAGTTCTCACCCATGCTGATTAGAGAATGGCCATTGCAAAGGTCCCACCTGCATCACAACGTGCTCTGGCAGTGTTAAAAATAAGTGACATATCACAGAGGTCAGTGCTAAATAACAGGCTTAGTTTGGGGTATCCACGTGTGTACATGCGAGGGTGTACGTGGCCAGGGAAGCTGAAAATCAATTCAGAACAAACATCAAAAAAAACCCATTTTTCTCATCTTGCCACAGCAAACAAAATATTGTGTTGATCTACATCCTTCACTTGCTCCAAAAATAAAAAACTGACTTTTGGGCTTTTAGGATTCATAAATGCAGAAGACTTAAGTTTGTAAGTGTAGAAAACCAGTAACTTTTCTGCTACTCAACAGTCCAGATGCATGTTCATATTTTGGTCCTTGCCTCTGGCTGAGAAGATTTGAACCTGCATCTCACCCTACTGAGAAAGAGATCCAGTTGTCACTTCAGTCTTTAAGGTGGGCTGGGCTAACAGCACTAGCAATCCCTCCTAGCAATGCTGTTTTATTTAGCATAGAAAAATTCACTGCCAAAATGCCTGGAGACATACAGATCCTCAGTCAAGTGCTCTAATCACCAGGCTAGAGTCATTCTGCTTTTCCTGATCCCTAGCTTAATTAGTATTTACACATGCCAAGCAAAACGTAAATGCTCCAAGAGAGAGGACTGTTTCAGGAGAACCTCTTCTGTTTGTCAACACTAAATGGAAGGTGGAACACTCTGATTTCAAATGCATGTCTTACAAGATAGAGGCTGCGTACGCCACCAGCTCTGCAATGCTCAGCTACCTGGTGGTTGGTTCACTGTGAAGCCTAACATTGACCAGAGGCAATGATAGCAAATTACAGAGCCTATTTGTCTCCATATAGCAATTCCCAAGTTCTCCTAATGGTTGACATAGTGATTGTGCTAGCTTTCCAAGATGTCCAATGTCAGTGCTGATTAGAGAGCAGCACACGTCCTCCAACAGTAGTATCTACTGGACTTCTCTTCACTGCAAAGGATGGGGCTATATAACCACCACAGAGATCAGGGTTAAGTGTTTCAGTATACAAACTCCAAGGAATAGGGAAGGCTTTCAAGAACTCATGACTAATGAAAAAGAACAGAAATAAAAGAAGAGTTAGGCTGGGTATTACAAAAAGAAAAATTCTGAGATTGAGTTCAGATAGCAGAGCAGCTTCCTGTGGGAAGAAGTGAAATCTTCATTGCCTAAGGCATTTATACTACACTAGAAAATGCTACTCTTCATACAGTACAAAGATTCACTAGCCCTAAGGCAGTAGATTAGATGACCTACTAGGTCTTTTCTCACCTCTAATTTCAGTGATCCCATTAAATTGGTGCAAGAGGATACCAGGTTGTATCTGTTTCAAGACAGAAAGTGCAAGCTCAGGGAGTCAACATAGCTGAGAAAATACCAAAACCAAAAATCCAATCTTGCGTTAGTAAAATTTACCTTAACCGATTAAAAATAAATGAAAAATCAGAAATGTGCTGAGCATTAATATTTCAAGGTGACAAGGGCCAAAAGCAACTAAAAACATCCCCTAATTTTGCATGTTCATGTCATGACAGCTGTTTCATCATCTTCAGCCAAGACAGACTTGAAGACATTTCAAGTATCTGATTCTAAATTATAATTATCCTCCCCAGCTCTTTGTTGTTCAGTCCCACCTACCCTACATTGCCTTTTAACATATATGACAAGGGATGAAAGGAATGAAAGGGACCATACAAGGAGACTGGTTGAAAGAAACAGGCTGAAGTAGCCCACACCTAATATCAGCTAAACCATAGCCCTATTTTGATGAAGCACCATTTCTTGATATCAATAATTCAGCATAAGAAACAGAGATGACTGTGTATTTGCATGGCCTAATGTGGAAATTTGGGGCTAAAAATTGGCAACCCAGTCTCTTAATGAGATCCTACAGCAAATGAGCGTTTGTCAGGGCAATCAGTAAGGCTGAATCAGATGAACCAGACATCTCCTTTTAGCTTGCTGTAGAAACCACCTTATGGAAACTCTTGAATTTTCCAGATCATTTATTTTCAATTTGTAGCATGCACCCACAAATAATCTTGTTTGAATAACAGAAATGACATCAGAACCAATTGAAAAAAAAGTAAACTCACAAAAGGAACTCTTCCATGAAGAAAAATCCAGTTACATCAGGCAGCTTCCTGAGGAAACACTTGAACAAGCTGATTGCCTTTACAACATGAAAGCCAGCCTACTTTGTCTCTGTCAGGCCAAGAAAGGGCTCTCAAGTGAAAGACCCTCCTGCTCCCAAGTCCTTTTGTAGCCTCCTAGAACCCAGATCTAGGAACTCTTTTCCATTGCAGCTACCAGGTTTGCTGCATTAGAAGGAAAGTTGGTCTCCAAGATAGGTAGGACCCATTACACAGGATTTTAATATTATACTGTCACCTTCAATTGCACTGTGATCTGCTGGTTGTCCCAGAAGCTCACAAAACACAAGTTGCATTTGCTCTCCCATGTAAGACATCCTTAAAGAAGGATGCTGATACTCCTACATCTGAAGTTTCTGGGTGATTCCCACTGGCAGCTCCTACACAGACCGCCCTACCACAAAAAACAGTCAGGAGGTGAGGCACAGGATACTGTTGCTAAAACTGGGGTTTGGGCAATGATGAATGTCCTCCTGCTAAGAGCTCTTCTCCACTCTGCAGCAAGAGAATGTCACCAAATGTAGCACTGATTTCATCCTGCAGTTGGGAAGTGGCACAGGAAGATTAAGGGAACTGCTGAGTGCCATGAATGCCCTCTGGCTAATCCAGAAATACCAGGTGACAAGGTACTTCAGGCTATGACAATTTATCTGTTCTGGGGACTGGAGTTATTCCCAACAGCTATTCTATGCTGTTTCATAAAATATATGCAGTACTAGCAGCTCCTATCTAAACCTTGAAGTAAACCCATTGCTTCTTAAGGCAGTTTTCTTCTTTTGATATTCCCTTTACCTTCTTCCTTTCTCCCACTTCAGTTAACATATATCAGATAGAAAACATTCTTATCGAGAATCCCCAACTTTCCTCCTCAGATTCTTCCCGTTTCTTGTGATTTCAGTGCCTCTGTACAGTTTCACCCTCATCTCCAATCTTAAGTTTTAAATCCTAAATTTATATCTTCCTGCTCCCCCTTTTCCCACTCATGTTCATGATCTTTTCTTTGCTGGTTTTTTTATGCTTGGGTCTTCCCTCATCCACACTATTACCCACAAAAATAATCTCAGCATTTACTTAGGCCCAGACAAAAGTAACCTACTTTCAGTTGTGAAATAATCCAATCATTTCTCTGTCAAAAAATATGCCCCACAGAGAAAAATCTTGACGTTTCTAAAAAAGAAGCCCCTCTGTATTTTCTCAACTTCTTAGACCAAAACCACAGCCCAGATCTCAGAGCCAAATGCATCAGTTTGTACACAGGGAGCTGGGATGAATTAACAGATGAAGAAGTTAGAGGTTCCCCAGCTATGGTTTGGGGAAACAGAAACATCTCGCATCACACATCAGCTGCAACCTTCTGGACACAAAAAAGGATGCTATCTGAAATTATCTGGTAGCCTGCACTCCAAGTCCTGCAACACTGAAAACCAGCAGGATAGATACAATGAAGAAAGAATGAAACAAGAACAGACAGTGAGGGACTGCAGCCTAGTTAAAAGAAACATTTTTTTTTTAACATGGAAAATTACCTGAATTCCTTATACTGGAGCTGTTCAGTTTGGAATCTTTGATGACCAAGTGCTTAATCCAAAGGGTGGGTGCTGTGATTTCTGAAAGAGAAAAAATAACTGCCTTAAAGAAACTACAGCAACTAGTGAATACATATGGTTGTTACTCATAAGGCAAGATGTTTGCTACAATCCTGCCTTAACTGATCCATCATCTTTGTAAAAATCAGATCATCCCCTCATGAGGTCTTCCACCTCTTATGAACCACTATTTGTAAATCTTCCACAAGGTTATCTCATGATCTTCCCATTCCAGAGAGTACCTTTTTTGCTGGCAAAACATTTTTTTTTCCTCCCTCTACCCCCCACTTCCCAAATTCTCAAGTCTAAAGCCCTCAGGACTTAGGAGATCTCAAAGGTTATGTTGTGTGCTACAGTATATGTTGGTTTCCACTAAAGTACATATGAAATCCAGACTTTAAAAAGTCAATCCAGACCTTAAATATTGCTTTAATAGCCCAAGAAGAGCTGACCACAGTCAGTTCCCTAAAACAAGCAACAACAAAATCTGAAATAAATAGGCAGAGAAATTAAGATATTTCTGGAAAGACTTGAAAGAAAGTCTGTTAAGAAACAAGTTCTGGTTAGAAAAGCACATCTACATATGAAATCCAGACTTTAAAAAGTCAATCCAGACCTTAAATATTGCTTTAATAGCCCAAGAAGAGCTGACCACAGTCAGTTCCCTAAAACAAGCAACAACAAAATCTGAAATAAATAGGCAGAGAAATTAAGATATTTCTGGAAAGACTTGAAAGAAAGTCTGTTAAGAAACAAGTTCTGGTTAGAAAAGCACATCTGATGCACTAAACCAAGATATCCAAACAAATTTGGGGGGGGGGGGGGGAAAGGGGCTTAGAGCCCCCCCCCG